TAATATTGAGAAATAATGATTGTCTTGATCAATATAAGACATTTTCTGTAAGTCATCTTTTTGATTTTCAGTCAAACTAATTCTTACAGGCAGAGCATGTATTTCCATCATGACTATGTCTTCTACCTTGATTCGTGATTTACGGAAATTGTAGGTTTTGAATCAATAATGTCGTTGAAACATTTTTTTTTATTTTAACCACAACTGGTACTGTTTTCTCAACAAATATCAAGTAGCCCTAAATATTTGCTGTTTGGATGTATTCAGTGATAGGGATGCCGCTTCTTCAATGCATAGGAATTAACGCCCCACTTTCAAGATCTTAAGTGATCGGGATATGGTTTAGAACATGACGTGGTTAAGAACATGCATGTCAAATATTAAGGCACAAATTATTTCAACACATTTTTACTTGGTGCTTGCCTAGTTTCAAGCAGTTTTTGTGAAATCATTTACCACGTTTAGTTTCGTACGATTTACCTCTCACGTCCCTTTGATGCATTAAAAGGTTTTTTACAGCCTATGTTTCCTGATTCATTACGAAATGGAATTGTTACTCCCTACATAATCCTCAAAAAATCAGTAAAAGAAACCCGCCAAGGCACATATCTCTTTTAGAAAATTACATTAGCCTTGACATTCAACCAGATCCATAACTTGGTAAATATTACTACTTGGAATATGTTTGGAACATCGCTCTTTTAACTGTGTATTGTTCATTTTGAAAAGTTTGGCACTTAGCTCCTTCGGCTTTGCAAGGCCTCAATTATCTCAAATGAGATGATGTGGGAGTGGGCAGACAGAATGAAACAGCTGCGTTAGTAGCACAGATAAAAACGTATATGGAGTGGGCAGAGTGCGGCGTGGTCTCAGGCCGCCAGGTGCTGGAAGCTCCAGCCGCCGTCGGAAGCGCCGCGCGTGAAGAGCACCCTGTCGCCGATGCAGTCGTCCAGCGCGTGGTACATCTCCAGCCACTCGGGCTGCAGGCGGTACGCCACACTGCCAACAGCGCAGCAGACATCAAGGGTTAAAACGGCTATTCCACTCATCAACGGAGCTGTAGCTGCGTCTCCGGCGCAGGACGTCCAAATGGGGTCCTTCATTGCGGCGCAGCGGTTACCACACCCTAGCTACGCCCTTGCTCATCAGTGGCGGATGCGGAAAGTATATCGAGGGGAGGAGGCAATTACAAATCAGATCCCCACAAACATTTTTGAAATAATTTTTGTCTTAAATGATAACACGAATAATGTATCCAAATTCAAGTGACAAATACTCATAATAGAAATACTACTTTGAATGTGATGAGACATATTTATGGAAATTATTTTGAATAATTTGGGTAAAATTTCAAAAAAAGTTGACTTGATGTGGCCTGGTCCTCAAAGCCCTCCTTCGTAGATCAAACTCAGTCAACCAAGGTGTAAAAAGCACCATGAACCATAAAGCTCCATAAAAGTGCCAAAGAAAGCCGCAGGGAAAAATGCAATGTAATGACGGTGATATTAGGACTCCGAGTACATCAACAGACTGGGGTTACCCCTTGACGTCCAGCTATTTCCTGGTCAGATTCCCACAATGATGGCTTCTTATTTTCCTGCGGATGGATGCTGAAAGGAGTGATAATGGCATAAGCATGCGCACAATGGTTCCGGGGTACATGTCCCTCCCCTAAAAAAATCGAAACCCACAGCCTTAAGCGATAAATATTTCCGTAAATATGATAAGTTCCTGATTTTCACCTTTTTAAGCTGACAATTTGGGGAACTGATACATGCCATTTTAGGAAAAGGCTTTCCAGACCATCCCTGGGAAAAAATCATAGGAACAACACTTGTAGTATATATTATGAGAGTGGTGAGTACGCAATTTACATTTTGTTTTCTTACAAATTGCAGCTTGTGCCACCCACATAATTTCTGCGGCAAACAATCTCCCCAGCCACGTCCCGCTGCGGAGAGATTTTTCTAAGGAGTTAAATTTATTAATTGTATCATTAAAGTTACAATTACATTCTTTTTTATATTGTGTTATATTTATTTCCTACTAAAATATGCCAAGCGTTTAATGGACAAGGGGTCCCAAAGCGACACAGATACAAGTTACGAATTCCTATGGTGTGCACTGATTTGAGTAATTTAATCGAACTATGAGATCCCTCAAGGAAGTGTCGAAGCCAAATATAAATGAGCAAAGGTCAAAAGAAAGAATGAAGAAGCGCATCATTGACGAGGGTGTAGAACCTTCAGCAAAAATAATGTTGTTAGCAGTATTATTTCTTTGGTCTCGTCTAAGCCAAACTTCCCTGTATGATGTCCCAGGATTCATGTTGCAGTCTATTAGGACATGTAGAGGATTGAATATTACTGTCAATTAACATGTGATGGGAAATTTCATGTAACCAAGTTACACGCGATATTTACCCCTGAATATTAGGCAACCCATCGATCAGGATCTATCTTTGCGTCAGAACGCGACCTAAAACACAAGTGCACAACGAGTTGCCTAATACTCAGGGGCAAATGTCACATTGGTAACTTTATTAGTGATTTCAGGCGTATCAACGGCTGTCCCACACATGTGGTAACGTGACCAACTACTTATTCCCGTAAGTGTCGTGCATGTTTAGAATTGTGGATGGCTGTGATCTTCCCCGCTGGAGAGAGAGATCTGGCGTCGACCTATGTTGACTATCAAGAATATTCCCCAACCAGGTATCTCCCACCTGCGGGGCACCGTCCCAACCGGGACAACCTCTAAGCTTCCAACCGGTCTCCCTGCATGTGTGATAGTACGTTTTATGTATATGTAAGTGCAATAAGTAACGAGTGATGATAAACAAGGACGGAGACGGAATGATCGCTTGCGGTCCGTGGTCCATTCGTTAGGGAATTGCCTCGGCAATCGCCAGGTGTTGATTGGAGAAAACACGAAAAAGTACCGACCAGAGCAGCCGGCCGCTTGAATTCTCCTGTAGACAGCGGCTGAATTTAACTTGGTTCTCTAGCTAGTGTCGACAGTCCTGCCATCGCCAAGATTCGAACCCTAGGACCTCCAGGTGAGAGGCATTGCAGTGACATCAGTTTGTCGACCCGAGCTACCTTCTCCGGTTTCATTTTATGAGATTTCCCACTACATATTAATTTGCAAATAATAATAATAATAATAATAATAATAATAATAATAATAATAATAATAATAATCTTCCATCCCCTACTTCCCCCAGACGTTTATAACATTTATTTAGACCCATAGGGGAGGGGACCCGAAGGGAAGAAGCCCTCTGAGGCACTCACACGTGCTCCGGGCGCTGGTAGAGCTGGGCGGCGCCGTCGCGGTGCTGGGCGAGCAGGGCGTCGTGGCGAGCGGAGTGCCGCGTCCAGTCGACGGGCTCGCCCTGGTGGCAGAGGTGCGAGCGCAGGCGGCAGTAGAGCGGCTCGCGCGCGTACAGGTCTCCGAAGGCGTCGTCCGGAAGGGGCGTCACGGCGCCCGCCGCGCGCACCTGCCGGTTCACCACGCGCGCGCCCTCGCGGTAGTTCCACTGGAACACCAGCGACGCACGCGGGTGCTCCGCCTGCGGGGGGGGGGGAGGAAAGAGCGGGATTTAAAAGCGGCGCCACACATTCGGCATTCGCCCGGTAGCGAGTGACTGCTCGCATGATGACGCGGCTGATGTGCTCGGCGAATGTTCGCTTCCTTCGATGGGTACAAAAGACCGAAGGATGATCCACAAATTCGGCATCCGCTGGATAGCGAGTGACTGCTCGCCGAATCCCGAGTAGTGTGGAAGGGTCGCATGCTATTTGCCGAACGTTTAATGCTCGCTCTACCCACCGCAGTCAATCACCACCGCGCCCTACCCACTGCGGTCGGTCGCATCAAAGGAAGTGATCTATAGGATTACTAGATACAATGCTCCGTAGCATGCAATGTAAGAAAATGGCAACGTAGCATATCGACATGAGGAAATGGCATTGTTACAAACAAGCTAGAATATACTACATAGAGTGGCTGAAGCGCCTCCATCTTTGAAGCAAATTGAAGCCATGTTTTCTGCAGTCAAAGAAGCGCCCTCTGGGAAACAAAGTATTCTAGCATTACGTTTGGCGCTGGTTACGTCGGGGTGGTCGCGGGACGCGTGTAATATAAATCCTCTTATTGTGTGTTCTCACGATCAAAATCCAAACATTTAAAAACAGAATCACAATATGTTAGGAGAACGAATTGAGAAACTTTAAATACATGTTGCTTCCTGCCTCGAATATTTTCAGAATGGAAGCTATTGAATTGTTATTGTAGTTAGCATAAAGCCTGAAAGTGAATTTTATTGCAATGCCGTTAAACGAAAAATAATATAGAAACAAGTTGTGATACGAACAACATCACAACGTCGGTTCAGTAAAGCAGATGAATACACCGCCTCTCGTATATTTTGACTTTAAAAACACGGCGGCCACTACTTCGGCGAGCATTCACGAAGAGCGCTGAAACTATAGGGACAGCCACTCTATATAATACATTCTAGCTCATTAGTGCGTACATAACCGATAGAATGCGGTATTAGTTGCTACATTGTTTGTAGTGATTGTTGTAGTTTGTAGTTGCAGTGATAAGCCGATATTTCGGATTTGCGGGGTTCGGATTAGCGAGATTCTACTACTGTTATTTTTGGAAAACAAAAAAATAGTTGTATTCACATTAAAAGTGATTAAGTTTCATTAGTAATCCCTAATCAATATTTTGTTACTTTTTAATTAAGTTTCACAGTTTAATTTGCCAAGAATTGCACATTCCTACCTGAAATTTATCACATGATAAAAACTTCCCACTCCTCAAAATGACTAGAAGTCTGGAATTAACATGGTTTTAAAGACTCGGGGTTGAAAGTGTTAAGCACGGCATAGCGTGCATGTTTCTCGCATGCGCAGAAGGTCAAGATTCCTGACGACTCTGTACGTTGCGCTGTGCGGAACCCTACTATTTCAGAAAGGAGGCTCGTTTCAGTTCGTCTTCCTCTTCCCCCTCCCCCTGACTACATAAATGCCGGGTGAGTCACTGCTCAAATATCTTTTCCCCCTCTGACTCTCTCACACACACCCGCAGACTGCCGTGTACCCCTTAACTTTACCAATAACACAGGCCTATCTATTCTATTCTTTTATTATTCCACCAGTGTCTACACCTTTTGCCCTGGGGACGGGTGAATTACTTTGAGGCTAGATAATTAGTCATAATATGAACGACGATGTGCAATGGTGGTATGAAGGCAGGGGAATAGAGACGAATCCTAAAAAAATAGTTTTGCCTACCACATTCCACCGGGTTTGGAATCCTGGTCCCAGAGATGGAAGGCGAACGGTCTGACGCCTACAGCGTGAGTCACTCCGTAACACAGACCTGGGAAAATTTTTTTCAGCGGATCGAAATTATATTGCTAGGCACTTTTGGCAGTGACAATGCAATAATTAAGACTAATTCCTGATCCTAGTCTCTAGAAAATGATGGAAGCATTAATTAGACTGGCCTGCGATGATTTTCCGAAAAGAGGTTAAGGTTGTTAATATTACATTGGGTGTGATAAACTGAAATCTGCAAACCATTTTCTCGTCACGAAGGATTTGTTTGAATGTAAACTGAAATTTACAGTTTTATATTCTGCATGTCTCAATTTTGAGAATGTTTTGAAATGCTTGAAACTCTGCAGGACAAAACCAAATATGTTTCTATGGCCTTCCCAGGTCCGCCATTGTAGCGGATGATTCAACAGATTCATAATTATCTGAAAGTATTATCAGAAGTTATATTTCATGTAATTTTATTCGTTTTCAGGTCTCGTCTGTACACTTGCGTACATTTAGTACATTTCTATTTGATCTAAAAATCGGAAGAGAATTAATTAAGAAACTGAAGTCAGAATTTTTTATGAATTTGTTTTGCAGTTTTCGTTAATTTCGAATAATAAGTCATTTTTTACACTTTTCCGTTATTTTTAAACCATTTTCGCTGATTTCACCCTTTTTAATATCAGTTTAATGGTACTTGCTTAAAATAATATTTACGAGATGCAACAAATGTTCTCGTAATCCGAATCCTGAGTAGGCTAATTCATTTCTTCGCTCAGTAACTGTAATGTAAATCATTGTGAGTATATAATCTATGTACCTGTGACGGTGTACCAGAGCCAATTTCGGTTCGGCTGATTTCGGGATAACTACGAGTAAAGACCGAGATTTCCTGGCAAACAACAGTCCAAACTAAAAGTACGCAAGCTGAGTTCACTTAAACGAAAAGAAGACTCGATTACACCAGTAACATATCCAACAGCTTGAGTTGTTAATTTGACCTGGTTTTGATAAGATTTTAAAAATAATTTTTCTATGCTTTTACGGCATTTTTAAAACATCATAAGAGCACTTTATTGCTCAGTTTTGGAGATGTTTTTAGTCATCAAAATCCGGCCCTACTCATAATACTGGGTCAGATTTCATAGGTCAAATCAGTTGTATTTATTTTAGAACAGCTTTAACTTCTCGATAGTAACTAATTTTTATAGAGGGATGTAATGCTATCCGTAATTCTATTTACAGAAAGCATTCGCTTCAATCCGAGTCTGCAATGCATACGCTATCTTATCATGAAGATAGAGAAAATGTACGTCTGCTGCACTAGTGTCAGGTCCTGCTCTAGAGAAGATTCATGTGAGACAGAACAAGTATCAGCAGTAAAAAATGTAAACTAATAGTTTTTAGAAGAATAGTTATCACCCAAAACTGGTGCAACAATAATACAAATCTATAATAAATATTACAAAATTTTCTTATATTGTTCAATATTTGGAATTTGTTAGTTTTATAATTACGGGATATTTGGAGGAGAGAATTTCAGTCCAGAACCCCGCCCCCAAAAATTCATTTAAGAATTCTGACGATTTTTAAAAATGTTAATTTTTTCTTGAAAAGTTGTCACCATGAGTTTGTTGGACTGTCCCCCATTTCCCCCTTAGAGAGACTTTGATGAACTTTCATATTTAAAATTAAAAGTGGCAAAATAGATTCAATCAATCGTACTCTTTTTAACCACCCTACATTACAAAGCCCGTTCTGCAATACTATTAAAAGCGTGTGCTCACCAGATCTGCGGCCTTGCGGCTTCGGGAGTCCGTCATGAAAACAAAGGCATCGCCGTCCATGCGGCGTAGCACCAGTGTCCTCGAGCTCACCTCCATTTTCCTGCAATAGAGATTGTGTCACAAATGACGGGTTACATAAACGAAAAGTATGTAACTGAAAGCCAGATATACGAATAGGGTGGGTTTAACAGGAGAATAAACGAATAAGGTGTATTTGAAAGGGTGATAAACTAATCGGGTGTATTTGATAGGAGGACGAACGATTAAGTTGAATTTGATAGAGGAATAAACATATAGGATAAGTTTGACTAAACACATTTTGGCATATACCTCTCAGATACAGATGCATTGCGCCAATCTGTAATACCTTTTATGACAGAAAAAAGCACCGTACAATAGCAATGCACAACGGAATTGTCTGAAAGAGCTCTCCATCGATAAACATAAATCAAGAGCAACAGACCAAAATTGTCCTAATGAAAAAAATTTACAATTTTCAAAATTTTGCTTTACTATGATTCCTTCCAATCACTGTCATGGGCCAGGTATCCAGTGACATACCGCTATTCCGGAGCAATTTGTACAAACCTTACTTTTAAATCTCGCGGAAGGTGTCTTGAACACAAGATCCGCGAACTCTTGTCGGCTAGTTACCTTGCCCGCCACCTTCATGTACCTGATATGCTCTATGGTTGAATGAAGAACAAACGTACCGACAAAGCAATTAAAAAATTTGAAAACTAGGAAACGTCGCTCCGTACTAACACCCGAACAGTACATATTTACATCGCCAAAAACAGACTTCAAATTTTATAGGTCCTACGGATCTACTCCTACCAAAACTAACTAAATTAGGGCTCAACAAAGCATGTGAATAGTGAAGCTACATCGAAGAGTAGAAACAAAACAAGGAGCCACCTCAGCATTTAATCAACGAATCAGGAAAACGGGACGTAAAATCTTATCGAGATGTGGGTCATTGACTGAAGCTGAAGTACTTTACCAGGTACAGGCATATTGAGGCATGGTATAGACATACAACATGATTATAACAGCCACCGTGGAAACCACACCGCCTTTCTCTTAGAGCAATCCCTTTCCCATCCAGTACAGTAGGTATCTCTTTAATAGCCATATGGTAGGATATAAGGCTCCTAAGGCCATATGGCTCCTCATCGTCTGGATTTTTCATTGATTTGCATGAATTCTCCGAATATTAAACGAGCTTATCTCAAAGCTACATGAGCGGGGGTATTGATTGTCTTTTATCGTGGTCTTCGAGTACAGTGATCCTCAGGTTCGAATCTCGTCTCCATCATGGACGTACGCTTGTGAGCCGTGGCATGACTAAGACTTTTGCAATCAACCTTTTATATCCAAAGATATAACCTTTCCTTCTGTTTCTTTCTCCCTGCGTGAAAACACACACAGGTGTATTTGAAGGCGAGAATGCTGCAGGCGAGTAAGATGGAAAATATGAGGTGAAGGAGTGTACCAAAATACGACTCGAGCGCCATCTACTCGCCACCTAACGTACCAAACCGTAATTGATTCCACATGTCGCTAAGAACCAATGGATTTCAGTCGGCCAGTGTGTGCCAGCCGCTGCTGACCTAAGGACCGCTGCAGTATAATGAGAGGGAATGGCAGGTACCGTAGGTTACCTAAGGCTGGCAAATCAAACTACGCCCCCAAGAACTGCCTGGAAAGCCCGGCGCTCCTGCAAGCACATCGCTTTGACTTCCCCTCCAAATCCAGAAAGCGGCGTACACGCCTAAGCTGAAGTGTGAAATGTAGTCGTAAAACGTGATCAATGTATCACGAAGAATGGTGACTTCAGACGAAAATATGTTTTCCCGATGTTTTCTTTTAAGCAAATGAGATTCAAATTATGTTAATACACTTTACTAATTTATTTATTTCACGATTCGGAAATAGATGCTGATGATTAGAGCCCGGATGTTTGGCAGAATGCATTTTTGTTTTTGTTACTATTTTATGACTTTCAACAATAGTAATCACTTAATTGTAACCCTGGAGTTGTTTTAGAAGCTTTTCATTTTCCCTTTTTTGTCTATTTTAGCTTCTGATGCCTATTTTTGCCATTTGTTGTTGCCTTTTTTCTGCCTTATCCCTCAATATTTTGCTTACTTTTCTCCTGATACCGATCGCGATTAAACTGAATATATACCTGCAAGCCTCGAAAATAGGAAAAAACGATCATGTTTTTTTGTCTTTCTGTGGAAGCAGAGGCTGTATTAAAAATGTAAATGAAAAAGGAAGATCATACGAGTCACGAGTTTTTCACTGATGCCGACAAGCTTTGTTTGTTCACGAGGAATCCCATCCTACTTTTGAGCATGGCATCCGATCCCTTTTGGGGAAAGCTTTCTGATATGATACTTCCTTCTCAGTGCTGGCGATTACCCAAGTGCAAAGAACAAAAAATATAATTTCTTTTTCACTGATGCCATTTCAAGATTCTTAGTCCACAATAGACATTCGAAGAGACAGCACCGCGAGTAAAACAAATTTGTAGCCATCGCACAGGTCATGTGGACAAAGATTGCAAAGAAAATATATTTTCCTCACTTTGAAAGCTAAAGCAGATATTTGATTTAGATTAAAAATGTGAAGCATTGCAATTACGAGTATTAGCTGTTTACACTAATTCCTTTTAAATGTGATTTTTTATTGTTTACATGCCTCTTTGCGCCCCGACTTCAACAGGAATAAATACCTTTTTGCATGCCTTTTTGACTAATTATTTTAGGTAAAATAAATGCGTGAACGTCCGGGTTCTATTGATGATAATACGACGTATGGTTTAGCCGTAAGCGTTTTCACAGACGGATCGACAGACGTATAGACGGACTGACAGACAGATGGACGGATGAAAAACGGGTGGTAGGAATACTTTTGCCGTTAACCTATTTTCCGGAATCAGGGGCCGAAAAACGTGGATTCTGACTATAATGTATTACAAGAGAAACATCTTACTACATATAGCAAAATTTACCCACTTTTTCGATAATAGGTACCCACAAAGGGATTTTTCTCATGCAAATTACAGTAATCGAAGAAAGTACCAACACATTTTGAATATTATACATATGTGTATATATATATATATAATAACATTGACAAAAAACTAAAACCGTTAGCATCTCACTATTATCAGTATTAACATTTCGACATCACTTTTCATGAAACAAACGACTGATGTACAACCTATGTTTTGATCTCTCGCTTAAGGTTTGCCATATGGTGTACTGACTGACGTTTATTCCCAGACATGAATCCCAAAGAGAGGGATTCAAACGTAGGATGTTTAACAGTGCTTTTTTTGCCGATAAACAGTGATCACAAAGTGTTAATACACCCCTAGTGTTAACAATACCGAATTGCGCCCATATGGACTCACAGTGCTTCTCAACTATTGTCCGATTTAAATAAACTGACTTTCCAAGGTCGGGAGATGGAAGGGAAGAGAAGGGAGGGGACTTTGTGATCTAATCAGGTGCTTCAAAACCAAAAATCAATTTCTTAACCAAGGCCCCGTTTGGATAACCGTGACATAGTTGATATCTACCAAAAGCCACTTTTTAAATGGGATAATACACTATTGTCCGACTGAAATTAGTGACTCACCTCAAGGGCACGAGCTGAAAGCAGCTGTCATCCAAGGGATCGGGATGTTTCGGGACGATTTTAATTGTTGGTATTGAAGCTCCTATTTGGATGACAGTTCCTCCTCGTCCTCCAGCTCGTGGCCTTGAGGAGTCACTACATTTAAATCGGACAACACTCCGAGATTCCCCCCCCCTCACCTGTTGACGGTGGAGATCACCATGGTGTTGGTCATGAGGGCCCCGCGCGCCGCAGCCAGGGCCTTCCACTCGAGGAAGAGGGCGATGGGGTCGCAGCCCGGGAGGACGTCGATGTGGGCGAGGTACGACGTCTCCTTCTGCTTCTCCACTCGCGCCGGGTCATCGTGGCTGTTCTCCAAGGGCCTCGCGTGCCCTGGCAACGGCGAGCACTTCGCACAGGAATCCTGCCAAAGAAAGGTAATTGAGGAAAATACAAGAATGAGAAAGAAAAGGAACGAATATGCAACTTTCATCTCACCAACTCGCTCTGCAGAAGGGGGAGGTGAAAGGAGCTCAGTCCTGCTATAGAGGAGGATTGGACAATTCCACTCAACTTCCTGAGCTTCTCGGCGATACCACACGATGTTAGTACGTAGAAGGGAGGAGCGTGGATTGATTGAGTGGTTTCCGGACGCGTTAACTGTAAAGGTCATTCGTTCTTATGGGGTAGAGCATGTTTTACCACGGGGCGATCTTTCCCAGATGGATTGCGAAGACCCGTCGCCGTCCTACACGGTGGCTTGCGGGATTTTCCTCAACCAGGTATCTCCCACCAGCGGGGCACTGCCCCAGACGGGACAAGCTCTAAGCATCCGACTGGTATCTCGACATGTGTGGTAAAGTATTTAAGTAAGTGTGTGTGTGTGTGTGTGTGTGTGAAAGTGTGTGTATGTGTAAGAAAGTGGTGAGGACAGGACAAGGAAGAGGTAAGGAATATCGTGCTGTATTGGCCCGTTTGTTAGGGTACGGCTCCGATGCGGAGTGTGGAGGTGGGCGTAGACACAGTCACCCCCCCCCATTCCTTCGGGAGGGGGAACATGAGTTCAGTTCTAATTTCGTCGTGGCAGTGACTTCAGACTCTGAAAAAATTGATAAGGGATACACGTCTTCCATTAGATCCACAATTAGTAAAAAACTGAAAAGCCTTAGTTTCGCCATATCATCTGTTACAGTCTGCTTGTTTTTAAACTCTCGTATCTATTTAGTAGATAAAGTTATATTATACTACAGGAAGAGAGGCGATTTTTCAATCAAAACTCTTTTGAGAGCCACTAATATCGAAGAATTAATTTTTCTTGCTGTAGTTAGAATCTGTGATCCGTGAGTCTTTGATTCCCAAAAAGCGTTTTCTCAATCAGTCTGCATTACAACAGTACCTCTGGTTTATTTTCTCGAATTTTAAACGGCTATTTGAATGTTGGGAAATATTTTACGTGAAGCACCTAAGACATTTTCAAAATTTTCTTAACAATATTTCAAAATTTATTCTTGAACTATTTTCTCAATAGAGCAAAGTATAGCTCATGAAATTGGTGCATGTTGGAACATCAGTAAGAGTTGTGTAGATTTAAAAATGGCAAAAAATTATTGTTTGATATATATTTGCTGGTACACAAATAACTTGGTGGTTTAGTCAATAAGTCGATTACTTGCAGAACCCATGTGCCTGGGTTTGAATCCCAGATTGACAAATATTTGAGTTCTACCACTGTCTGGAGAGGAATTCTCCGACCGGTTTCTCTGATCGGTAGTTTTCCGTGGTTACTCCGATCATCATTAAGTGAATACCGGAGCAGAACCTTAACTACCGGGCCACGGACAGCGCAATCGTTCTTTCCTCATCCTCGCCCTATGCACATTCCTTTCTCACACTTGCACTTTCATGCACCACACCACCACATATGCCAGGAGAACAATCGGGAGCTCAGAGCTTCTCCTGACTGGAGCGAGACTGTGCTGGTGGGAGATACCTGGTTAGGGGGAAACCCCGCAAGTCAATGGGTCGGCGGTGGCGTCGGATCTTGCCATCCAGCGGGGAAGTTTACTGCCACCTCGTGATAAAACATGCATTACACTTACGGGACTAATGACGTTAGCAGATGCCGGGTCCGGAATCATCAATCAAGCGGACAAATATTTTTGCCGCTTGGAAACATTTTTGCGGAATCATCTAGAATTCATCATTCTATTTGTAACGAGACCGTTACAAATAACATAAAATGTACGTGCCGATTTGTCACCATTAGTTTTTTAAAATTTTTGAACGTCTCCCTGGAGAAAATTTCTTCGTACCCTGCCCTAGCCTACCAAGAATTAATATTTTCTCAGGAATCTGACCGTTCCCTTCGAATGACAACATGGCCTCGGAAGTCGCGTTGATCTCCAAGGCTAAAGGCTAGAATGGCATGTTCCGGAGAGAATATCAAACGACCAAACCGTGTCAGAACTGACCTTCTCAGACGTTCAGAAAGCTCTCACGCTCTCCCGTAGTCCGGTTGCTACCCCGTCCTCTGATTGGTGGCGATAAAACGGCCCTAGCGAGAAAGTCGCAATCATGAATATGGTCCATAATGTTATCAGCAATGTCGCTCCTCAGAATTGCTATTTAATATTATAGAAATTTGGAGATAATAAAACATTTAATATAATTGATATCTGTTCAGGTTATTTTGCCGTTGTTTGGTAAAGTTAGTGAAAATGATTTACAAAATATCTACCTACCTACAAGATGAAGGTTCAATATTAAAACAAAACAATTCTTTTAATTACATGGATATGCCTGAAGAGCTATAAATGATTAAAGAAAATAAATCAAGTATTATTCAAGCAATCCAAAAGTTTTATATAATTATGAAAAAATATAAGATGCTTGAAACTGCAAACACTGCAACATCTCTTTTATTGTAGGCATTATATTCATCCAAGTCTCTTCCATTCTACTCGTGATAGATATTTCTCATAGAGCATCACCAGCAATTACCAATTTGCTTCACCTCAGTTTCCTATCATACATCATCAATTTCTTAAGTCTTCGCCTTGTTACTGCAATCAGAAGCTTCAACTAAGTGGCAAAGTCTAGTGCAGATGTATTGCAGCGCCGTCAGACATAATATATCTAATCTGTCTTTGCCACTAAGCGATTTGCCATCAAATTCGCATCCAAGTCTAATAGTTTTGCAAAAGATTTGAAAATTGTGTATTGATTTTCCATTCTCTGAGTTGAATTGAAGTTTTAATTGACATTAATATTGCTTTAATCCTTTATTGTCCAGAATTTTATTTTGTCTTCTTTAATAATCAGTTTCTCATGTACGTAGTGTAGATAAAGTTATGTAATGTTGAAAAAAATCATGATTTTGACAGAAATATACACTTTGGGGATCTCTCTTATTGATAACGAGACTTCGCGTGATTGTAACATCCGTCCGTCTGTTAACAACACTAGCAGCCAAACCTTTGTCACGATTTTAATCAAAATTGATTCCCCAATATATCTTGCGGACGTGGCGGCCCCTCGCATTTGAATATGATCTTTAAAATGTCGGTGTACTTTGTATAAAGCCATTACAACATTTTCAACATTTTCTCAAAAACAGCTTCCATTTTTCCCGGTGATAGAGCACAATATTCTAAAAAAAGTCTTTATTTTCTTTAAAATCCCTGAAATTGCAAAAGTAAAATTTTTTTGACCTCCTCCACCAAACTTCAGTTGGTATTTTTCTGCTAATAAATAATTGATGGAGATTTAAATCTGTTCTTCAAAAGTAAGTATTTTAATAATGGCATTTACTATTGTTTTGAAAATACGAGTAAATTATTTTGCGTAATTGTTTTTAATATGGGTGTACGTGCTAGTAAAACGTTCGCTAAAACGATTTCGAGAATCAATCTAAAATTTAAAAAATGTAGTCAAATTATTCCGATAACGTGATGCTCTCACAGGCATTCGCGTCTAATTTCTTGTTTCCCTTTTAACGGTGAAAGAATTCAACCTTTCGAAAGAATTCGGATTTCAGGTCTGATTTGATATGAGACAAATCGAAAATACAAGAAAAAATATAGTATGCATATGTTTACATTAGGGTAAGAAATATGTGAGCTATTTGCATGTTTTCATTGGCCGCCCTTCACACTGAACGTAATATTCAGGAATATCCAAATACCGCTCTTGTGTCTAAGGGTAATGTGGGGGAAAATTACTTTAAAATTTAAAAAGTTCAGTGGCGTGAACAAGGGCTATTGTTTGATATGGCTAAACTCTTAGAGGCAGCATAAAATAACATGTGAACAAATAAAATATAATTTACTAGTTGGTTACCCTGCGTTGTTCGGGTATTTATGAGTCACAATCATCTATTAAGCAGCCTCGCCTGCCCCACACACTTCGTATGGCATATCTGTCTTGTCATGACCGCCCTGCTCACATCCCCCGCCCGTCCTATCTAGCACCTTTCGTTCTAACCGTTCCTCCCACTCACCACGCTCCTCCCTTCGAGTGGGTCGCCCAAATGGAAATGAGCCTGCGATTCGTTTGAGAAATCATTTAATGGCGTGACTGGACCTCATTACTGACTGTGAATTGCATTGCATATTTAATAGCATTCTTGAGCAGAGCAATATATAGGAATCAGGAGATGGGTTAGGTCTATAAGGTAAAAGTGGCTACTGCGGACAAAGATTTATTGCAGCTATTTAGATGAAAAGTCTTCCAACATTCCCAGCATAACCGGGACCCCTCGCCTCCCAGAAAAAGAAGGAAAACAGTTTCATCACCAAATAGTACAAGAAATCGCTCTAGCTTTGAGGTCCCCACGGGAAGCGGGTTTGGTTTGGTATGGCGGCTGCCACACCTACCTTACTCCCAGGCACATCAGTGCTTACTTTCACGAAATGCCTGCTCACATCCGCGGAGACGTTTAAATCAAAAGTTTGGGGATTGGGAAGTAAGGCAACGTAAGGGAGAATAACTCAACTTTGTTGACGCAATAACGTAAACATATCCACTTGCTGACACACTCTAATCGAAGACAGAATACGATTTTATTTACAGGTATTAAGATAAGTCTACTAAAAAATAAATTAATGTGACTGCTGAAGTTCTGTAGAATGACTTTACTGGAGACTAACGCTACAGTAGCAGCTGCGTACTATCCTGACAGTATTACAACAGCAATTGTGATTTTATGTACATTTTTTAAGAATTTGAACCGAGCATGAAAGAATATAAACAGTGTTTATATACAAGGGAATCGTATTCATAGCACGCGCAAAATTCAATTCAAAATTTGCTCTGGAAAGTCTCTTGTATGTTACAGCATACATATGTATGAACAGTGTTAGGGCTTTTGTATTCAATATTAACTTCTAAAGTTATCTTTCTGAAAGAAAGTTTACCCTACATACACTATGATGTCTCATCAATTACGGTTTTAAATGCGAATGAACTCGATTTCAAAATTTGCTAAGATTGAAA